CTCACCAAGGAGGAGAACCCGCCCTTCCCACGTGCCGACATCACCGCTCGTGCAAACATGGGTCGCAACACCATGGTCAAGCAGCTCGAGCGTACGCGCGAGAAGCAAGCCGCCTACGAAGGCGAAAACGCGACCAAACTCGACCAAGCGCGCCGCATCCGCGAAGCCGAAGTGCGCCGCCGCGAGGAAGAAAAGGCACGCGCAGAAGCAGAAGCCCTAGAGAAGAAGCGCAAGTACGCAGAAGAGCAACAGCGCCTCCTCCAGCGCGACCGCGAACTCATGGAGAAGCGCAACGAAGAAGAGCGTCGCCGCATGGAAGAAGACGAAGACAAGGAAGTCCGCAAAGCAGAGCGCAAAGCACGCGGCCCCAAGGGCCCGAAGCGCAAGAAGAAGGACGCCGACTCCGACACCGACGGCCTGCCTTCTGACGACGACGAGCCACGCTCAAGACGCAGACGCACTACAGCTAGTGGCACCGAGGACCTATCCGACGAAGAGCGGCCCCGCGAGAAGAAGAAGAGGAAGCTCGCCCGCAAGAGCGAACCAGTCGGTAAATACAAGTCCGCGGAGTTCATCGACGATGAGAGCGATGAGGACGGTGCCGCGCCCGCTGAAGACGGAGACAAGGCCGATGGCACGGCTGGCAGCGACGACGACGGTGCTGCTGCTGCGGCGCCTCGTCCCCGCAAAGCCCGTGTCGTCGACGATGAGGATGAAGACGACGATGCTATCGCCGCCCCGAAAGCTAATGGTGACACCGCCATGGACGATGATGAAGATGAGTAGCGCTATCGCATGTCGTTCCATGGCGAAGGCCCACAGTCTTTGAAAGAGTATCACCCTCTGGCGTTCGTTTGAAGTTATCCGTCTAATCCTTTTTTATCGTTGCCTCTTATTCTTTCCTTTCTTCTTAGTTCTTGCATCAGCGCTACGGCGTCTCCGGGGAGGGGGCAGACAACGGGGGAATCAATATCATCAGCTCCGTTTTATCGTACGGCAGTACTAAAATTTGTATACCACACCACATGCAGGGGCGGGGCTTATAGAGATGCAATTCAAAGTGAAATGTACAATACGACTGCTTTGTATGATTTGCTTGCTTTGGTGCTGATGATGATTTCTTTAAGCTGCACGTCAACCTAGGTATATCTTGAAGACCCTGGCGCCTAGATCAAGATAAAAACATGCAGAGTAGGTGGGCCAGGGTCAACGTAGGCTCCACGGTGTTCAGTGTTTCTATTAAACAGCCCATTCGTCCTTGTCGTCAGTTGCGGTGATGAAGGGTTCGTTGACGAGCTTAACGGCAAGTTCACCACACAGCACACTAAAGTATGTTGTTAGCAGAGAAGAGAAGAGAACAGCGAAAGGAAAGACTCACCAACTACTCCCCACCAACGCATCCAGCTCCCTAATCGCCCTCTCCCTCCCCTTCCCCACCTTAACCCCCCTCTGCACCTCAGCCTGCAACTCCGCAATCCTCTTTCCCCTCGCAATCCCCGCCAGCTCCACCACCCTCTTCGCAAGACAATCACTATGAAAAGCATGCTGGCACGGAAACACAAAGAACTGCCTCGCCAACAACGGCAACCCACACACATAGCACCTCTCCCCGGGTTCCACAATCGCATACCGCTGCTCCAGCGCTTTTATATCCGACTTGATATGCGTAGCCGTCGCCTCACTATCATCCATCTCCTGCTTCAAGCCATCAATCTTGTGGCTGTAGTCTTCGAGGGCGGCGCAGATTTCCTCTTTGAAGTCGTCGATGACGACGAAGTCCGGGAAGAAGGGGATGAGGTCTTCGATGCGGAGGAGGTCGACGCGGCGGAGGAACTCGATGGCGGTTTTTATGCCGCTGGATTGCGAGATAACCTTTTTGGCGATGGCGAGCCAGAGCTTTTTGCGGAGAACAGGGGAGGTGTTGGAGCGGTCGGCGACGCTCGAGGCGAGGTCTATGGAGTCGTATTTTAGGGCGAGGTCGACCGCTTGCGCGTATTGTTGCATGGAGCTGTAGATGTGTACGCAGGATTGGACGCGCTTGTGTTGGATGCAGAGGCGGAGGGCGAAGTCGGCGTCGTAGTTTTGCTCGTGAGCGAGAGATTGGCCTTCGAGGTAGGCGAGGAGGGCGGATTCGTCGGGTGTGGGGTGGGAGGCGTAGATGGAGATGAGGGTGTTGTGGATGGCGGCGTCGGTTGAGTTGTGTTGGTTGATCTCGAAAAGAAGGTAGCGGACTGCTTGGTTCTGGTTCAGCGTGGCCTTGGTGTGGTTGTTGTAGTTGAGGAATGCGGGGATGAGCTTCTGCGCGTCGAAGTTCGAGTGTCGCATCATCACATCGACGAGCTCGACTGGTACGTGGGCCATGAGCACAGAGCTGTACTTGTAGAAGATCTCGGGATCTGTCTGCTTCTTGAGGACGTCCAGAGATTCTTGCCAACGCTCACGCTGCACCCAGTACGAGAGTACGTAGTTGTAGTCGTTGACCACAGTAGCAAAGTAGAGCAGCTCTTCCTCTCGACCGTGACTGCTGATAATCTCGTATACAGTCTTACGGTCAAGATCAGCCTTGTACTTGGTCACAAAGTCTTGATACTCTTTCCGGATGACTGATAGTTGATCATGAGTCTCGGCGGTGTTCATGCTCTCTGAGAGTTCTGCTTTCGTGGTAATGGTGTCATCGAGAGTATTGAGCTTGGCCATGTAAAGTTCAATCAACCAAGTAGCGACCATAGTCCGTTGCATTATCGATGACTTCTTCAATGTGGACAGTTTCGTCACCAGGTACTTCCGTAGCGCGTCCTGCTCGCCATTGTCGATGAATGTCAGCGCGACTTGCTCAAACGGCTTCGTGCTTCGTCCGTAAACCGTCGCAGCCTCCATCCACTGGCTCTTGCCAACAAGGTAGTCACCAGACGCCGTTGCCACCGCATCCTTCTGCGCTGGTGTTTTGGCGTACTGCGATGCAGCCTCAAATTGTTGTGCTCGGAGCATGATCTTCCAAACGTCGCGACTCTCGTCCTCGACAACGATCTCGAAGATCTCCTGGCTCGTGAAGAGCCAGTAAGTATTCCTCTTCCAGTCAGCTACCAGACCAAGCGCACTTTGTCCGGGCTCCAGCACAACTTGGTCATGGACAACAGTGTCGTCGAGGCGGTTGATAGCTACGACTCGGCCTTCAACTAGCTGAAGAATATGCCACTGGCTCAATATCATCGAACTGACAGGATCTTGTGTCCGTCGTGTGCGCCCGCTAGCGGTTTGTGAAGGCGGCACCTGTGATCTAGGCAACATCTTGGAGTCTCCAAGAACTTTGCCGCCAAGCTCAGAAGTATCCTGTGATAGATACAGCTTCCCATGCAATACGCCCTGTGATGTAAGCCAGCCGAAGATCCTCTCGGCGTTGGAGTCCTCGCGGTTTGGGCTGTCGTTGTTCTCCGGGGAGATGGCAAGCAGCGAGGCTGCCGTGGGGGCGACATTGGAGACCTCGTGTACGGTCGCAGATTCGCTCTCGAACAGCTTCGAGAATATAGATCCGCTTCCTTCTGATCCCTGACGTCCAACTTTGCCAGCGAAATGTAGGAAAGTCGAAGGTGTCGCGACGATGATGCGCCGTAGATCCGTTCTCCCGGGCACCGTATCCGTCCACAGCCCAGTAATAGGGCCATCGTTCGTCCGGTATACGCTCTTCAAGTATCTATCAAGCTGTTAGTACGAATAATAAGATGTCTTAGAACCGCGTTGCCAAAGTATAGCATTGGGGATACATACTAGTAAAAAGTTAGCAAGATATTTTAAGCGCTATCCGTGGCAGCTACGTTACCCTCTCCTCCCTCCTGTAGAACTCGGATGACGGCTCGATATACACTTCGTAAACGTTGCCGTCTGACGCTCCCACGAGTATCTCGCGCGTCGAAGCAGTGGGCTGCGAGGGATTCCACGAGATGCTCTCTATGACAACGCCCTTCAGCCGTGACAACGCCTTCGGTGTCCGAGATTGTGTGTGGAGGTAGTAGTTTTCGGCGAGGGTGGTGGTTATGATGAGGTGGGATGCGGAGGGGTCGAGAAAGAGGCGTCTGATGACACCCACTTCTGAAGGCTTCTTCGGAAGGTCGATATCTTGTAGTATATGAGCGGCTGTCCAAGTCTTTTGTGTGGTGTGTGCATTGCTATACGAACCGTCTATATCTGCGGGACTGTCCAAATCGATGCGTAAGATGCGCCCCGTGGACAGAGCCAGGACGACGACATTATTCGCTACTGCAGCCGCTACAAAGTCGGAGGATACTGTGAATTGTAAAGCCACGCGCTCTATGCTGAACATGGGGCCCGAGGCGTCCTCCTGCATGTTGCTTGTGCTGGGCGGCGCATACCCGCTCGAGGTGTCGTAAGCCATGGTGGGCTTGGGATGTAGCTCTCAGCTATCGTGGGCTCGGAGTCATTGTTTGCGCGATCACCCGCTGTCTCAGTGCTCCTTCTCACTCTGCTGCGGCTTCGGTTGTAGCTGTGGGCGCACCTGCTCGGTGGTGACGCCTAAGCTTGGAGCTTGGACTTCGGCGATGGAGCGGAGATAAGCCGGCGTTGGCGTCGCGTCATGTGAGTTCGCGTTTGGCACTCGATTGACCTTCTCCCACAACCCCTTCTCTAGACGATCAATGAAAGCTGTTAGATCTCTCATATTTTACAGGCAGCTGCGGAATTGATCATGGTGAAATCGCGGGTGTGCATGGGAATTACTGAACGTTTGCAGGACAGAACCGCGCATTCACGATGCCATGGCCGTGGAACCCTCTTACTACTGCGCCTCCCCTTCGCACCACGATTATTTGATCTCGATCTTCGTTGCCTTATTTAATCGGTTTCTCGACCTCCGAAACTTACAACGTTGCCTCTCAACCGCTCAAATTCCGCCGTACTCGCTCAATCAATTCCAAAGCGCGCATCATGTAGCAACCCCTCACATAGTCTTTACAATTACTGACAAGATCAGGGATCTCGGGAAAGAAATGGTACGTGTGACTGTGGGCGCCAATAAAACACCCTTCACATTTCACAAGAACCCCCTCCGCCGGCATTCTGAGTACTTCTCTCGCGCATTCGGACCCAACTTCAAAGAAGGCAGAGATGGCGTCTTGCATCTTCCCGAGACCTCTAAGACGACCTTCCGCCTTTTTCAGACTTGGGTCTACCTTCAAATAACTCGTTCGCCTCCAGGTCTTAGTGAGGTGGAAGCTCTATTAAGCCCTGCAGCGCGCATGACCCGATCTTTGAACGCTGATGTCTCAGCTCACACGCGTACCAGGACGGAAGAGACAAATCAAAACAAGTCAGATGCTGACTCCGACTGTAATAACGATGTTTTGAACAGCCTCTTCCATCTCTATCGCTTTGCGGATGCATACGAGTGCGTCAAACTGCGCAATGACGTTATCAGCGCCTTCAGCGACCTTACGAAAGATGGATTGGCTCCCGACCCCGAAACGATCGCTTTCATGTTCGAAGAATTACCTCCTTCTTCTACCATCTGTCAATACTTCGTCAAGAGTGCTGCGCTGAATTGGGGCCACTACAGGGGCCCTTATCGAGCGCTACTCGAGGCTACACCGCTGCCCCAAGATTTCTTAGTAGAAGTTGTGCGCATCAACCACAAGATTGCAAGCAAAGGCAAAGGAATGGATGCATTATGCAACGAGATACAAGATCGCTGTAACTTCCACGAGCATGCAACGGAAGATGAAAAGCAGCTGTGTAAGTCAAGAATGCTTCAGGACGCGCCGTACATAGACGCTCTTATCTTAGCGTGCTTGGAGGTCTCGAAAGGCGGACAAATGGCATGATGGATCATGTCAGCGCATAAGATATGCAATATTCCTTGAGAGTGGAGCAAACTGCTGGATACTGACGTGTTTAGTCAAGATTATCCTAATCTTCGCCAGTCTACAGCTATAACATGTGTCTTGAAGACCTCTTGTCATCTCCTTCCCTTTCTCAATGAATTCGACCCAGTCTTCTACATCTCCAGCAGTATCAACATTCTTCAACCACTATCCTTCAATATGACATCGGCAATACGTTGTTTACTCTCCTCAATATCTCCACTCCCCTAGCCCATACGTTAGCACACATCCTCAACTTCATCAGCGCAACACGACCTACCGTCAAAAATACCTCCCGAAACTCATCCTCCTCCAGATCAAACCAGTGCGTGATATCCCTATGACTTCTATCCCACGGCCACTTCTCATAAAGCCTTCGAATAACCCCCTGATACACCTTAACCCTACTAAACCCAGCAGCGCGCAAGCGATAAATACTCGGCGCAAACGCCTTCAACAAACTTCGCAGGACAGGCCACAGCGGGGGCTCGAGGTGATAGTCTTCATCAGCTGCATGATGATCTATCTGGAAGATGATTACCATGTCTTTGTTAGTCAGCCTAAGAAGGTTCTCGAGATCAGCTACAACACGCGAGCTGCCACCCCAAATCTGATCCCAGCTGAGATCAATGCGTATGTATCGGATGATATCGGCAGGCACGACTCCTCTTTTCCAGACATCTTGAGTGAGGAACATGCCTAGCAAACAAGCACCCGGGGTGTACATTATGAAGCCGCCAGTGCGGTACCAGTGCTCCGCTATCTCTTTTGCGACTGCTTCGCCCGTGTACTCGGCGTACCTCCAAGTATCGCGACGCATCGCAGGGTCGTCAGGTAGAGGTGTTTGAGCGTCGAAGAAAGATCGGCCACCGTGATCGTGGTGGAAACATCGACTTGAGCGTATTCCAGTGTCTACCTCACGACAATCAACAACGTAATGTTGCCTGCGTGGAGGAATGAGATGGTCGTAGACCATGTCTCTCACTTCGCGAGGGAGGGCTGCGCGGAAAGCTGTACAGAAGTCCAGCTGGGACTGGCGATATCCTTCGTGGAGTGCAAGTAATTGCGCCATGCTGTTGTTATTCGATTAGACGTATGTTATTACGTGGAATGGGTGTAGCGTACTCGACTGGATCAGGTTTGGGATCAGGTTCCCGACGTCGATATTTTCTACATGCAATTAGTCGCCTGTTGCCTTGTATGAGACTTGGACCGTATAACATACATCCGCCGCTTCAGTGCGTGTGAAGAGTCATGATGACCGATTTTCATTGCGGATCAGTAGCTAACGAAACAGACTGTCAGTCCCAAGCGAAGCTATTGAGATTTGGTAAGCATAAGATGTAATTAATGTTCATCTTCAATTGTAGGGGCGCAAGCGCTTCTTATCCCCAAAAACGAGGAGATAATTGTGGCGGAGTCATTAACATGCAGGCAACAAGACGCGAAGGAACACGACGCTAGTCCGGACGCGTACCTGGGTATCAGCCAACCGAGGCTGCAGCAGACATTATTCAAGTCGTACGAGTTATGAAGTCATGCATAGCTCTCATTCCATAAGGCTACTCAAAGTTCTGCCTGCCTGACAATTCTCTAATAGAGACCCTTATACCCTCTCCGAGTACATCCAGCGCACAATGTACGCGAGCCCAGCGATTGTTCAGATGTTGGGATGGTCCGTCAACGCCCACTGTTCCTGCCACAACGTTAGAAGACATCAAACCAAACCTTTCGGCAACATACCAGAGAACTTATGAACAGCTTCTCTTCCGCATCAAACAGCGACGTGAAGTCCTTGCAACAACCCGCACTCTGTACGGTAACGCGACTCAGCCCCTCCCTTCTTAGCTGGTAAACAACAGGACCCAGTTTCTCTAGTTGCAGCCGTCGTGCCGACATGCTAGTCCTGTGGGTAAGACGTATGTGCAAGTTGATATCCTTGTTGTCGATCTTGCCGAGTGTATCTCTTAGCTCATCGAAGTAATCGGTCTTGGTTTGATATTCGGCCACGTGAACGTGCATGTGCTGGACGATAAGGCCTGGTTTGAGGCCTTTGGAGAAAACGTCGCGTTCCAAGAAATCGGGGATCAGGTTCAACCTACGGTGACTGAAGCAGAAGGTTCGACCGCGATACCAGGCTTCGATTATCTCAGTGGCTACTTCGCGGCCCATGTAGCTGTCGAGCCACCATTTCAGACCGCGCTGGTCAGTTGACTTGAGGCCTCGTATCCCTTGGTTGACAAAATCCATTTTTGTGCTTTGAATGACGTCTTTTCTCCAGTCCCTGTGTCCGGTGACGATCTCGCGGTAGTATGGGCCGATGATCTCGCTGTACACCATGTCTCGCAGTTCTCGAGGTAGGGTTGTATGCAGCGTTGCGCAAAGTTGAAGACATGCGAGCCGGCCTCCCTCAACAGCCTCTGCATGCTTTGCATCGCGTCGGGTCCGTGCTACAGTCCGTTTGTCAAACAGTTCTGATGCCGAGATGTTTAGATTCCGTCGCCTATGTTCGGTCAGCGACTTCGCGGTGCCGGCGGTGGTATGACGGTACATACTTGTTGGCGGCTTCCTGTTCCTCTTGCTGGGCTCTGGAACTTGTTAGCTAATGGGTTCTAACAACCTCAAGCATACACTCACTCGTTCTGGCGCTTCCTGCTATCTCCAGGCTCATTGTTGGTAGCAATATGGGTTCCAGTCGTCTCTTTGCCAGAAGACAGCTGCGCTGGGGCGCTTGTATCGAGCACATTATGCGAGTTACTGCATTCGCAGCCGATGGGGTGGGGAATGGTCGCGCGCTGGGCTGATTGGAATGAGTTCCCATCGGGAAGTGTAGCGACTACATCGCCGGTGGCCGGGCTGGTTGTAGACATGCCGTGGTACCGTAGCGATCCAATGTAAAGTATACCGAGAGGTATCAAGTTGAAATGGGAAGAGCCGGGAGACATTCCCTAGCGAAGAAACTCGGAAGGGGCCATGGCGCAGAGCAAACTCGACTGACAGGCGCACCTACCCCAAAGAAACTTTTACTGTGTTCTGACCACTGACAGCGTGACTTTCTGGACCCTGCGACCCTACTCTCTCTCGATGATTCTTTCCTACGAGTACGGTATGCGTTTCGGCAGTCGTGTGCGGCTCGTCGTCAATGTCTCATTACAGTACCATGGTAGCCCGACCGCGTTGAACAAAGGACACGACATCAGCGAACAAAACGTAAAATGTGATGTGTCTTATTCATTCATCAGCAAAGTGATCCATAAAAGCGCTAGGGTATCTGCATTATCCAAACCTAACCAACACCACAAGCGCAATACCACCCCATCTACTTGCGTTCAAAATCCCCACTTCCCCTCATCCTAAACCCAGTACTAATCCTCTCAATCGGACTCTGCCTCTCAGCCCTATCCACACTCAACCGGTTGGCCATCGCAGTCGTGCCATTCAAGCCATTCGTGATCCTGACAGCACCCTTCTCGGGACTCCTTCCCGTGCTGCGACTAGCAACCGGAAGCAACGAGCCACCATCACCCCAGTGATTCGCTCTCGCACTGCCAAGATAGCTTTCGATGCTGCGCCTGCCGTCGGGGCGGTATGCCGTACTGCGGCCGCGACTCAAAGCCTGTTCGATAGTGCGCGTGTCGAAGGGGTACTCGAAGTCAGTCTTCTCGATCCCGCTATAAGCGTCGTTGAAATCATGCCGGCTCTGGCGATTGTGAGCCTTGCGTTCGCGGAAGCGGCGTTTGACTTCGCGGAAGAAATCTCCAATGGCGTCGAATGAGAGCGCGATGGCGATGAACGGGATGGAGATAGCGAAGCCGATGCCGAACATGTACTTGCTGACGAATGAGAGAGGAAGCGAAGGCTCGTCGCTACCGGGCCGGTGCGGAAATTCTTGGATGTTGATTGTGAACATGGCTGCGATGAAGGATAGAGGGAGGAAGATGATTGTGACAATGGTAAACACCATGATGGTCTGGCTTTGTCTTGCAGTACCAGCAGCTTGGTCGCGAGCGAAGCGTGCCTCGAATGCGTTGGCGTGCTTCTGCTTTAGATCGAGTAGGTCGGTGATGGATTCGTAGATGCGCTTGGCTTGCTTGTCCATGCGTTCAAGATCCTTGATGTGTGTGTCTACTGTCTTCGTCATGTCCTTGAATCGCTTCTTGAGTTCCTGTTGACTCTTGTGTTCTTCACGATATATGTCCGTGATGCTCGTCTCCATGTCCGGCAGTATGGTGCGTTGATCTTCCAGCACCTTTGAAATCATGTTGAGTTCGTCGCGAATGTCTTTCGTCTCGGCTAGCAGGTCTGTCTCGGCGCCGATGTCTAGTAATTTATCGACAAAGAGAGGTGCATGGGCAGCCGTTCGATCGCTGTCACCGTAGTCAAATGCCTCTTCCGGCACTGGAGGGTCAGTCAACGCGTGAGAGTGAGAGTGTGAATGATGTGATGTGTGACGGCGATTCAGATGCTCTCTCTGTCTTCCCTCGGCTTCTAAATGTCTAGAGAAGCGATTGGGCCGGCGGTGATGCTGTAGCCAAGCCGATGCTTGGGCGGACGCTGTGTTGAACTCTTTGAAAAGCATAGTTTCCATCTCAGTAGCATCACCGATGCTTGATTCGAACATGTCGAGAAACTGATAGTCTTCGTCGCCAACGCGATGTCTGTCGAACACGCCACTACACCGGCCGGTAATGATCATGGCAAGATCGTATACGCTACGCACGGGATCTCTTGTCTTGCTATTGATGTCTTCAATGACTCCATCCAGGACGTTGAGCGGGTCGTTGCGAGGCTGCTGCCATCTTTGAGGGAAGGCTGTCACGATCAAGTCTTTGCCAAGCGTCCACATCCACAACTGATCGACCATGAAGATCTTCGGGTCAACATGTTGCGGCTCGTTCGACTTGCATTGATATCGATAGACGACTTGGTCTCGATCTCGGGATTGCGTGTCGATGTTGTGA